TGTTTCGGGTTTCTGAAGTCCGCTGAAATTCACTGCTGTAATTCCTGGATTTCCGAGTGTGTACACTCTCATTGCGAAGACGGAGTGAGCGTGGCTGCGTACTTCATCTGAACATAGCGGCAGCCGCTGCGCTTTTGATGGTATATCGCTGTTTTGGAACAATTACGCTGTGTTTATACTTCGCGGACACGTCCACTACGTTTCGAGTTGCAGCGTCAGCGACTAGGAAAGTATAGATATCAATCTAGCGCTTACCAGCGTCTGCCAGCGTGCACAAAGGTCTACCAACGTCCGGGAGAGGAGAGTATGGCGCGCTAGATAGCAGACAGCTGGTAGCTCTTATCGCGCCATACTCCCTACCAGCAGTCTGCTACCCTCTTATCGCGCCATGTTCTCCTCTACCGTGCGCTGGTAGACGCTCGTGCACGCTGGCACACGCTGGTAGAAGCTAGGTCGACATCTATACCTTCCCAGTCGCTGACGCTACCGGACGCTCGAAACGCTCATGGACGCTGCCAGAAAGTATGAACGCAGCTTTATACTACTATTTGCACTGGCTTGTCTCAACCTGAATTCGGATAGCTTCGGTGCAAACGCTGGGGCCTTCGGAGGGGGAGGGAGCAGGGGAGTAGGGCAGAGTTTGCGCGGTGCCGGGCTCTTTGCAACCGATTGCTGTATCTTGCGCTTCAGCGGGGGTGGAGAAGGGCAAGCGAGAACAACTAGTGAAATAGGCAAATGCAAGGGATGGTGCGCGCTGAGTCTGCTCCCTAACACATTACGGCGTTCCAAAAAGGACGTACATACAGTTGATGTCATCGTAGTAAAGAGAATGGGAATGTAGCCGAATGCAAGACGCAAATCTGGAGAGTACGCGCTCAATGAGTAGATGAAAACCGATCGGCTTTGCTGTTAGCATTTTTCATCTGACACATCTGCCATCCTTTCTTATCCTGGACGAAGCCATTACAATTGTCCCAGGACTGTAATATATCAAGAGAAGCGCAGTTTCTACCGCCGTCAAACAAATCATTCAGCGACTTCCTCCCGATCTGCGCAATACGGAACTAATACGATGAAACATACGTCCTGTCATACCAGAGCCCGCCGCACTAAGGTTACTTTGCAGCTCGAGGCCTTTTCCTGGCAAGCAAATAGGTGTTGCCATGAAAGTTGGAATATTTTCATGGTGTTCTAGTATTGCAATATCGTTCTGTCCATCACATCCATTGAAATTTTCATGGAAGTACACCTGGAACATGGAACATCAGTATAGCATTACTATTTTGATGAGAGTGAGCTGAAATCATGCTCACTCTGTTAAACTGACCTTGCTTGGCTTCAGCCACCAACTTTTACATCGTCGTGGATCACGACAACGTGTACCGATGAACATGGTCCAGTCTTTGATATTCCCACGCATCTCGCGATTACTTTCGAGTCTTTTGCGACCTTCGGCACTAGAATTGAAAAAAATGCATTCGAGTGTTCTCCAGTTCATGTAATGGACAACCGGTACACAGTCGTTTAAGCGCAGTTTGGCTTAGCGAGGAGATGCATGTGACAAGAGAACCGTAATTCACAGCGCTGGTGGGCGTCGCGTGCGAAGTCGCGCCCGCGAATGGAGGGCGGAGCGGCAATATACGATTTTCTATCTCACATCCCAGCGGGGAGCTATTTGCTGGTTCCCATATCAATGCCGATGCCTTTTGGTAAGACCTGTAAACTCCGGGGAAGCTGTGCAATAGCATGAACATAATTCCCATTTGACAAGAGTCAATAGGTCTTCCTTAGGCTAGAGGTCTAGCTTGAAGGGTTAGCACGATAAATTACTAAGGTAAGATGAGTAGGATTGATCCGCCTTGCAAGACGGAATCCCGCGCCTTGAGCAGGCGCTGCGTAGCTGCTTTCCCCTTACGAAGCCCTATCAAGCTGCACCCTATAGACCCGGACGCCATCGTGCCCGCCCGCCCACAAATGGACGTGTCGCTTCATTTGCTAAGTAAAATATGAAGCGAAGGGATTGATATGAAGCGGCTGCGGTGCTGCATGGATATATGAGTACATACGTGCAGCCGTATCTACCGTAGCGGTCATTGGCACTGCTTACGAGAAAGTCGTCTGAAACGCTTCCTGTGTCATGAAGAGCGAAGGCTGTTCTTTGCAAGTTTTTGAACGTTTCACTTCGGATGGATATAGTTTGTTCAAGCCTTCCGAGATTGTTATTCCTTTATTCACTTACAATCGGCTAACGTTTCGGCGCCTTCGTCAGAGCCTGTAATCAAGAAGCATTTATGATACATCCCTCCAAAGCCTCAGCAATTTTGGACAAATCAGACAAGATCAGCCAGCAAAACTTATTACAAGTAAATTGGCTTACTCCTGGGGTGGCGACCAGTTCAGATTGTTTAAATGGCAACATAAACCCTACCACCACTTATCACCAACCTGATGTGAATGATAATCCGCAAAAGTCGGCAAACGCAGCAAGCTCTCGAGTGATGGCACATGCTCCTCCTTCCGATTCATTTTTGGATCTTTCGAAGTGATCCGAAATGCATCTAACGTTATGCGCTCTGCGATCTCGGGTTCGCGGGCCAAGATAGACACACTTACTCCGAACTCGGCATTTCCATGACATTGAATTCGATCGGTTCCCAATGGCGTACGATTTAGTTATCTTCGCAGCCCATACAGGTGCTCTTTTACCCGTGTGCGCAGGGCCAGCCTGTTTTTCCTGTATACTAACTATCACAAAAC